GACGGAAGACAGCCATCGGTGACGACGACGACGAAGACGAGAGGTTTCCCGAAAGGAAACACTTTCTGAACGCATCCACGAGTAATGTTGTCTTCATTGTCGACGGCCAACGACTTCCCGCATATCGAGATGTGTTGCGAATCAATAGCAATGTCTTTGACCGCATGTTTTCGGGCCAATACTTGGAGTCGACGGCCAAAGAGATCCCGATTAAGGGCACGACTGCCGACGCCTTCAAAACGATGATCCGTTTTATGTACTCTCGAGAGTTGATCCTCACCGACGACAGTGACCTCAAACTCATCGGCGATGTCCTCCAATGCGCCGACCGATACGGCGTGACTCGTTTGGTGGACGCCATCGGCCGACACTTGGAGACAATGGTCACCATCGAGACAATGGAGACGATCGCAGACATGGCCCACACGTATCGGATCCGTGCGCTGAGGGATGCGTTGGGCACCCGATTGGCCGCACTGTTGACCGTTGAGGACGCGCTCTCTGTGGCCAAACTCGCCTACAAATACGGGCCGCCGACCAATCGATTCGTATTGGATTTGAAAGCATTTTTTTCGGCCAATTTTGACCAAATGGTGACCAAAGGGTCGCCCGAATTGATTGCGTTGAATGGCATTACAAACAACGCGTGGTTGGAAGTGATGTGCGAAGAGTGCGTCCGATATGACTCTTCCGATGACTCGTCTGACTCGGACTACTGATTCCAGCACAGGATGTCTGTGCGGACACCCGACGGGTCCATCACTTAACACTACTTTGCATTTTATTTAAGAAATGTTTGAATTTTTTCTTAATTTATATTTCGTATAATTATATTAATACTGATTGCGTGAAATGTTGTCACTCTTTAACACTCAATAAAATAAACATTTAATTTAAACTAAAAAATATTTCAATGTTTAAAACTTTATTTAATACTCATTCAATACAAAGCCTATTAACAGACAATAAAATACAGGCCTTAATAGTACATATGCAATACATGTAAAGTTTATACTTTATATATAGTTAACTTATTTTTATATCAATAATCTCTAGTGGTTTTAATAATAAAATATTTTTATTTTATAAAATTATATGCGTTATTATAAACTGTATATTATAAATATAAGGAATTTTTGAATATACCAAAGAAGTTACGTTATTAAATAATGGACTTGCAAATCGTATTACAGGCAGGACAGCACTTTTATTCCCGTCACCCGTACCCGTCAACCCGTACTCGTATGTATGAGACTAATGCTATGTCTATAAACAATGTCTAATGTTGTACTGACAATTGTACTTGATATTTGTTTGCATTTATTATACTTTGATAACAACTTATTTGAATACTATTAAAATAGTTTAGACGATTTATTTATCAATAAATTATATACAACCTTATATTCACTCAAATTTAATTAAATTTACATTACCAATAAATTATAATTCAGTTTTTAAAATTGATAAATAATATTAAATTAATGTCGAGCATAGCTATGATATATTTACATTTTATGGGTTAAAAATTAAGATTGTACAATTGTTTATAGACATAGCATTAGTTTCATACATACGAATACGGGTCGACGGGTACGGGTCGACGGGTACGGGTCAACCCGTCGACTGGTGACGGGTACGGGTCGACAAGTCGACGGGTACGGGTCGACAAGTCGACGGGTACGGGTGACGGGAATAAAAGTGCTGTCCTTACAGACACACAGTATTGTATGTGCATTTTTTATTTAAAAATAAAAATGACCAGTGTTATTTATTTAGGATATGCACTCAATTACTCAACAATATTTTTGGATTAACTTGTATTGTGGTCACAATTTTGTACAAATGTCCATCAAACAACTATTATAGCCCGACCCCAGTGGACAGGTCTCACACCGTATGGCCTTCGTATCAAAACAGGCTCTAAGACTGTTCTCTCTTTCCAGCGAAATATAATGTTTTCAAATAAAATACTAACGATTGAGAGACAAAATCCGATATAAAGTATATAAATTGTGTTTTGAGAAATTTCGCTGAATTTAAGGCTATGTATGGCAACAAAACTGCTTCTCGTTATGGATTTTGTTGAATTATCCATTAGTTTATTATGTTTTCTAATAATACTTCCAATCAGCTCATTGTGTATATCCAAGCCATTCTCAACCACCCTCTTGAATCTAGCAAAATACCATAATAATGTAATCATTAATACTATGCGATTTGAGTTAGTCTTGGTTAGTTGTGAGTAATATTACATTAATGATTTTATACATACATATTATTCATTTGGTTGTTGAAAACAAATGCCTTTTCAACGGATCGAAAGGAAAATGTGGGGAAATATTTATTATCAAGTTTCTCGTAATTTTCCCTCAATTCCCTGTACTCCTCATCAAAGATTTTAGCAACAGGTGTATTGACAAAAATGACCACTTTTCCCACCATCATCGCTTCAAATGTTGCCTCATTTAACAGATCGGCATTAGAGAAAAATGATGTATCTAGATACTTGTGATAACTTTCAATTCGGGCATAAATTTCCATAACATCTTTATAATACGCGGGATTACCCGCGATATACACATCCCTATCGGCCAGCACTTCATCCAACGTGTTATACAATGGGATGGATTTAATTTTAATATAGGTGTTTAGCAATAGACTCGTAAATGATCGTGTTAATATAAATGAGCTGAGTAACCATAGTGATATTAGCGAGGTTTCTAATAATCGATCGAGTCTACTTTTGTATTTCGGTGAATATAATAAATTTGTCAATCTTGATGAATTTTGATGTAATAGCAATTGGATTAATGCTAATATTTGATTATTGTATTTATATAGTACTTTTAATAAACCAGAAATGGTCATAATGCTAAATAGTAGATTTAACCATATCTTGATAATAAATCATGAAAGCATAACAGTAAGTTAATGATAACAATATTAAATATATTAAAATTAACTTACCCAAACATCAAATAAAGTAAACATAGATAGTTTACTGCCATTCTTATCAATTTTTGTCCCTGTCACTATTTCTAGCATAAACAACTGTTCGCTAACAATCAAATCATAATGATTATGGTGATACTTTTGAAGCAACGAGGCCTCCAAATTAACAATATTTTTCTATGTAATAATAATTAAGATTATTTTAATTAATAACTAAATTTATATAAAATTAAAAATAATTTAAAAAATTTACATTTGGTTCGTAAACGTAAATAAAATTTAACAATAATTGAAGTGAACATAATAAGTAATTAACCAAGGCTAGAGTTGTACCATACAGTTGTTCCTATTTATTAATAAATAATAATTAAAATGTTCGTTGTACTTTAAAATAATATATGCATAAATGTTTACATCTATAATGAAGATATTGACAATTTTATTAGTTGTTTTATTATTATTGCACATGTAATTTTTTAAATAATCTACGTTTGAAACTGGTATTACCCCGATAAAATTATCATAATTTAGCACCTCGTTTACAGTAACCATTTTATATTTTGTGCAATTAGTTAAATATAAATTGAATAAATTCTATTACAACTATACATTGATTTTGAAGCAATAATTTGTTGCATAACTATAATGTCTATTATTATTAAGATATAACTAATGTTCGAATTTAATGATGAGATCAATATATAATATAAAAAATAAAATAATAATTAATATTTTTATACAATTAATTAATAAAATATAGTAAATAATTAGTTAGCAAACAAATAATATTCATCTGGATTAAAAATAATTATTTAGACAACGTAAACGCAGCAAATCATACTTGATAATTGAGTATTACAAAATGTGGCATTACATGTATACATTGTATATTAAATATATTCTGTCTTATAAAATATTTATCGACTTGAAATGAAACTAAATTATATGTTTCATTACTATAATAATAATTATTATAAATCTATCTATTGCATTTTGTATGAATTTGTTAGTAAATATATTATGTAGATTTTGTATTTTTTTGTATTTAATTAATTTAATCATTTATGGGGTTATTTACATGAAAATATTGAATATTTTTATGGTGTTATTAGATAATCATGTATGTCATGAATTATTATTTAGAAAAATACATTAATAGTGAAAAAAAATTAATTAATTAAATTAATAATAATATTGTATGTATCAACTTAATACATACCTGTAATAAAATATATTTAAAACTTTATATAATACAAGTATATTAAATTAAACAGTAAATCTATATTCAGAGGAACAAAAATATTACTTTGTAAAATAAAGTAGAAGTTTTAATTTTACATTTAAACCGTGATTCATTTATAACAGACAAAATACAATCGGGTTAGGGTAGCGCTCACTTTTGGACATTGAATAGCTTATCATTAGATAAAATAAATATTGAAAATTTTCAAAGTGTACCGGTTTATTATTATTACTATTGTTGTTTGAGCATGGTTTATTATAATCAAATTTACACAGCATTTTTATTAAATTAAATTTTTTAAATAAAAATACATTATTGTATTACAGCGTTAATTACTGTACAATAAATATAAATATAGCTGTCAATCACTGAAATTCAATACTTGTTATTAAAAATATGTTTTTAAGAACTCTATCAGGTAAATGTAAAACTAAATTAAAATGCAATAACCTACACTATATAATTATTAGTTAATAATTTTAACCAAACTGTTTTAACCAATATGTAAAATAAATTACTTCGTTATATTTAACAATGTGTGAGGACAACAAATATAATATAAATGTAATTAAATGTCCATAAAATTAATATGTTTTATTGATGTTGGTAATTATATATAACAATAAATATAACTTGTTTTAAATAATAGCATTTGTTGGAGCCGTACAATTATTTGGTCAGAAATAGTGGCAAACAAATAAGGACTAAAATAATTAAGGTATTTTGTTTTTGTTTAACGACAAAATTAATTAATTAATGCAAACAATAATTATAAATTAATAATAATAGTTTAATAATTTGAAATAATATTGTAAATGATGATGGTTATAAATTAACTTACAATTGAATTAGGCGTTTAATGTATGGCTACAATTGGAAAACAAGGATCTATTGCTGGTCTCAGAAATCATTGAATTACTGCATAATTCAGCCATTTTGTAACTATTAATTACATTAATAATTTATTAAATATTTAAAATAACCAAAATTACAACCAAGTTTATTGAAATATACCAAATTAATACCAGGATCGATGACATCGAGGACAGTTCAGAATTGCGTGGGGGTGAGCCCAGTGCTCATCTGGTGTATGGCATCGCGACTACTATTAATTGTGGAAATTATGGCTATTTCTTGGCCTTAGAGAAAGTGGTTCAACAAATGCCTCAACATTTACAACAAAAAGCGTGTAAAATATATGCCAACCAAATGATTGAATTGCATCAGGGACAGGGTAAGGGCAATAAATTTAAAAACCATTAGCCCTAATATACAGATACTATTCAAATGATTAGACCCTAAAGTTGACATTATTATGTAGTTTAAAAATTTAAAATTATATAATTTTCTCATTACATTACTTAAAGTTCTTGGGACTTTTTAAATAATTTTAAATAAAAGTTGAGTTCATTATTTAAACTTATAATTATTTTGAAATCAATGAACCTGATCTGAAACCAGATTTGCGTAATCGTCTCTAATCTGGATTCTCTCTCTCTCTCTCTCTCTCTCTCTCTCTCATAATATGTTATATAATGTAAAACATAAGGACTGGATATCTATTGGAGGGACCAATTCCTGTGTCCGACTGAAGACCAATACCTGGATATGATTCGCAAAAAAACGGGCGGACTCTTCACAATGGCTGTCAAATTCAGTCAATTGTTAAGCAATTGTAATCAAAAAAATTTTCAGCCATTTATCGACATTTTAGGCGATTATTTCCAGATTAGAGACGATTACGCAAATCTGGTTTCAGATCAGGTTCATTGATTTCAAAATAATTATAAGTTTAAATAATGAACTCAACTTTTATTTAAAATTATTTAAAAAGTCCCAAGAACAGTTAATGGTATTATGTGTAATTACAAACTATACCTTTTTAATATAACCAGGCTATACATATAATTAAAATTGACTTTCAACCATCAACCGGAGAGTTTCCTACGTCACATTTCACAAACCATGTAGTCAACTTTTTGCAAATAAGTTTAAATAATGAACTAAACTTTTAAAATGATTTAATATTTCAATGTAATTTTATGAAGTTTGCTTAGGTGTAAATTTATGAAACATATCAATAGTTAGAAATTATAGGCGTGATTCATTATTTAAGTTTTAATGAGGTTTAAATGTAATATCAATATTTGAAATAATTATTATTGTTTTCAATCATTTCCATATGTTTAGTACAATGAGGGCAAAACATTTTGCGAAGACTTGACTGAAGGCAAGTTTTCATTTCCAATAATACACGCGATTAACAGCGATCTCAACGACACTACAGTTATCGGTAAGACTATTGCCGACAAAATACATGTGCACTTCAGTACATGTGTATATTTTACGTTACAAAATACGTGATAACTTTTGTTGTGATAACTCATTGCAGATATACTACGAATGCGAACCACAAATCGCGTACTGAAGGAAACGGCACTGAAAACAATGCAGAGTTTAGGTTCACTCGAGTATACATTGAATCGTATGAAACAATTGGATGCTATGGCCAGGGATGAGGTGAAACGCTTGGGTGATAATCCGGAGATGATCATGATTTTGGATATTCTCAACAAAATTTAATTTTATGTATTTTATAATTTTTTAATTAAATAATTCGTTATAAATCTTCTGATGATATGACTAATGATATTCGCTTTAATAACAAAGAATTTATAAAATATGAAAATTGTATTTAAATATTAATAAAATATATGCTTATTTGATATAACATTAAATATGATTGTTTTTATTGAGATGTTTTAGTCCATTAAATCCGTTTGTCTGCCATTAATCCCATTAACGATCACTCCATTGGGATATTCGGCGCAAAGCATACCAGAGATCCATTTGTGATATTCCTCTTCAGTATTACAACACAGCACACGACCGAAATATGGCATCTCTTTAGTCCTGAAAGGCATACAAGGGTTAGAATTAATACAAGGATTAGATAAACATTTTTAGTATTATAAATATTTGGGAACTAAAAAACAATCGCAAAAATAACATAAAATTATATTTAAAAATATTCTTTAAAAAGTATTAAAAATTCACTAAGAATTCATAAAAAATGTTATTAAAACTATAAAAAATTATCTAAAAAGTTCCAAGAACAGTTAATGGTATTATGTGCAATTACAAACTGTACCTTTTTAATATAACCAGGCTATACATATAATTAAAATTGTAGCTATTTGAATGATGGGGCGCACGAATGATAGAGATATATTTTCCATTTTACTATTTATAATAATTAATTATTATTTTGTTATAATTATTGGTTAATAAGAAACCATTTTAAATGATTTTCAGTTATTTTCAATTAAATCTAATCAAACTAGTTACATTTAGTTTAGAATATTTTCTAACTTAATGTTTTAAAAATTAAAACTTCCCAAAAACTACTCAACACTTACTTAACAATGGGATTATTCCTATCGATGAACGTAATAAACCATCGCTTACTGGCGCCCAAACCACCGCCAGCGCGACGCTTACGCTCGGCGCCCAAATACCACGTGATATCTTCGACACACCACTGGCCGAGCGATCGGTCGCCGCCACCCCTACCGCCGCCGTCCGGCTTATACACCGAGAGTCGGGCGCCGATAAACTCGACCAACACTTTCTTAAACCCTTTGGACCGGTGGTCGGCGTACCGGAGCTCCGAGAATATGGTGATCGGTGTCTGATCGCGCAGCTGACCCGCCAACTGGTTGTATAGGGTGTTCGTCCGGACGCACAGGTAGTTGTCGCGCGAGTACTGTTGCGACCATTTCACCCACGATAGGGTCACCGCCAACACTATGTCCGTGTGATGGACGGGCCGTTCCAGCTGTTCGTTGTACACTATCTCGTATACAGACAGCCGGTCCGCGTTATCCTTGATGTTCGCCTAAATGATATAGATTGAGATTGTTAGTTTTTATAATCATGGTCAATCACTGGTTGTGGTAGCAATTAATGGATGTGCAAAATAAACATGCACTTATATATTATGTAATGATCATATTTTAATAGCAATCATGGCGGGTGTGTGCTAGCAATCTAGTTTAGGCAATTGACTAGAGTGCATATAAACATAAACAATTAACAAGGTACTAAAAACTTTACAGTTATGGAAAAACTGGTGCATGAGCTACTCGAGGGCCCGCCAGTAGCATCCGCACTCAGATTGCAACTCTGTGAATGGGGTGAGTGCTGACATCTGTATGTGTGGCTAGTTTTTGAGGACTCACTCGGCCACCGATTTGACGCCGGCTTTGGCGCCCATCTCCCGACGCTTGGCCTCATTCAACAGCTCGAGCGCCCTCTGGATCCGCCGCTCCTTCTCTAGCTCTTCGGCGGTGACGTCAAAGAGCCAGCCGTACGACTGGATCAAGTCGGTGACGATATCGATGCCGGCCGAGTGGCCGTCAAACGTGGACACCCGGTCGTCGAGCACCCGGTGGCAGCACTTGAGGAATAGTAGGGCCGGACATATGGCCGGAGCGATGTTCAGTATAGAGGTCTGGTTTTTGTCCGATTGCTCTATTATGCTGTGAAATTAATTGTGTGGTTAATTGATTGGTAATTGTATCATGTGACGTTAAGATTTTATACACTAGGTGCGAATCAGTGCATAGATTTGCATAAATCGCGCGTTTGAATGAGTAGAATACTATTAATTGAGTAAAATTAGCAATGTAATATTAATAATCATGTATAGGTTTTGCAAATAAAGTTACAAACTGTAATTATTCAATCAACAGTAAATATAGCATCTTATAATTAAAAGTTTACCTATAAACTATTGGCAAGTGTCCAAACATTCACATTTTTTTAAAATAGTTAATTTTAATTTTAAGTTGATTATTATTAGTAATAGTAATTTATTACTTAAATATGATTAATTTAATGTTCACGTAAATTTTGTCATACTAGCTTATTTGTTAACTAGAAAATATTTTATAACTTAATTTCTATAACTTAAGTATTACGGTATAATTATTATAATAAGTAGTAATTATCTCACCAAACAATATGAGCGATAAGTTTCTTGAGGGTTAAATAATTGACAATTGGCAACAAATGCAGCAAAATCTTCAACTTCTGGAGCCTTTCGTTGCGATTGTCTTCTTCTGCGGTAAAAAATAAACACAAATTAAAACTAATTATAAATAATTAAAATTACAAAAACAATTACCATTCGCTTTAATCCAGTTATGGTACAGCTTTTCTGTGAGAATACACTCAGACATCGATTTAAGGTACAAAATGAGTGCACATGTAATGTCATGGACGGAATGGTTGTCCACCCGGAGCTGCAAAGCCCAGGCGTCCCGCCGGAGCTCATCAACTATGGCCTGAGCGACGGGTGACCCGAGATTTTGCTGTAGGTATAGGTTGGGAGTGTCGGTGCCATACGTGGCCACAAAGTTGATACACTTGTCCACAGCCACCGGCACCCCATCGCCGGTCAGGTACTGGTCCTCCAGAGTGCCGGCCGCTGGAACTGTCCATAGTTTCATGAATGATTGGTACCTATGATTATGGTAAACATATAATTTAAATCTAGTTAAAATACAAATAGATATAAAAAGGGCATTTGCAAATAGTTGCAAAAAAGTTTAATCCGATTTAAACTAACTATCAATAAATATAAGTTGCAAACTAATATATTTTAAAAAATAAAATAAACCACCTAGATCTATTAACCAAACTCACCACAACTCGGTGTGCGCTTTGTATTCGCACTGAATGTACAGCACTTTATTGGGGAAAGTGAGGCACACGGGTTGGCCGGACTCGTGAACCAAACCGCACGAATTGATCTGATGGGCGGACGCGTAGCCACAAGACATCACTTTACGCATATCGTACGTGCGATAGCAGTGACCTGAGCCCAGACAGTCAGCCATCGTTGACGACCCGGTGCTCACGTAACTGTCGCTATCGTTGTCGGACGAGCGGACACTCTTGTTGTCCGCTGTCTTTGGCGGCGACCCCAGGGGCTGATCCTCGTCCGGTGCCGTGTCTTTGGACACCACTGTTATCTGCCGGTCGCTGAGCAGCACGTAATTGACCAGCCATTGGCCAGAAATGCCGTATTTCATCCAAATGTAACCGCAGTGGAAAGTATCTGCAAGTATCCAATGTATTAATATAACTAGTTAAGCTTAATTTTGTTAAAACTACCTAGTTAATTGTAAAATAACTCAAAAAACAGCGCAAAATACCCATACCTTTGAGGGTAAACCTGTCCCATGCAATTGCCTCTTGAAGTACCTGAAACCACAGGCGCTGATCGCTCAGGCATTTGGCGGCGAACAGGAAAACGCGCCCCCGTTTACAGTTAGTCCCGATTTCAAAGTAACACCAATTGGACGAATCGTTAGCCGAGTTAATGGTACCGTTGACCTGAGCGGTCGGGGGCCGTGTTTTGGGGCCCAACTCGGGCACCAGCCTCGCAAAAGCCACGTCTTTGAGCATGATCTTCCCGCGGGCGGCGGTGGTCTTGCGGTCCGCATAGTAGGCGAGTACCCCGTCGTCCGGCTGCTGGTCGTTGCGGTGCAAAACGCACCACCGGTCCAAAAATTCACGCCTATTTGACCCGGTTTTCCACAGATAACCGCACTTTTGGATTATAGACCGGGCGTTAGGGTTAATATTGCTGTGGTTATTGGCCGCCTGGAGTCGGGATCTGGATTTACCGCCCGACGACCGAAATGTCTGCGATCGGGCGATACCTGGGAGTAGGGAAAAGTAAATTTCAATTAACGAACCATCAATAAACAATTGTATATCTAAAAAAATTTATTGTTGTCTGTATGCCGTGTGTATTTCGCCCACAAATCGCGAACATTATATTTTGACAAAATCAATAATTAATTTACACAACACTTTAAATTAGTTTGTTATAATTGTTAAATACTTGCATGATAATTAGTATCAACATTTTTGCGTTAATAAAGCTATTTACTGGACAGAAAACAATTACCAACGGTATAAATTAATTAATGAACTAGTTATTAATAGTTAATAAAATTAATTAACCGCAAAACACGTATACATTTAGATGTGGTGTACCTTTAAGTCTGCAGTCGGAGTGTTGACAGACATAGGGATCGACTGAACAATAGATTAATCGCAACGAATAGAAAATATAATCAAATTAATCATAAATAAAACAAAACCAAAAATATACAAAACCAACAGAAAGAAAACATCGGGATCAAAAAACAAAAGCATATTCATAAAAAAACAATTCATAACAAAAGTAAATATAACAACAGTAATACATATTGTGTTGTAATACAAACCTATGGGCACTTTGGGCTGAGAGACGGGCATCGGTTCGCTGAGCTTACGCGACATCGGAGACCACATCCGGCGGTGGTTCAGGTGCTGGTCCTCCAGATCCACGTTATCTCTGAGCACCTGCTCTTTGATGACCAGTCGGGGCGGAATCACCGGCTGCTCATCCGTTGTGGGCGACGCCGGGGGTGTGGATAATGATGGGGGCGGTGGGGGCGGCGGTATCACAGGCGGCAGGTGAGGGGGTTTGGGCGGTGGGACGTTAGTGGGCGGCTTCGGTAGGGGTCGGTATATGGATGAGCCGGTGGACGATGAGGGCGATGGGGTGTTGGATGACGACGAGGCCTGAGCTCCGCCACCACCTCCGGCAGAGCGCCGGGGCTTGACTTTTGGCGGTAATGTTGGCGGCGGTGATGATAAAGGCCTGGAG